AACTACATTGAAGCTGCAGGTATTCAGGTGTCCCTGGTGGGAAGAACTGCAGTCAGCATCTGCCGAGGATGGGGTAGTTCCACCCCCACCAATAGAACCTCACCTGTAAATGACGAAGTGGCCCACTCCAGCGGCACCCCTCCTCACTGTGGATGCAGCGGATGGGCAGGCCTAGCACCTGGACCTCCAGCTCTGGGTCTGGGTAGATCTGGAAGCAAGAATGGGGAGAAATGGCCAGGGTCAGAATCTGTTATAAACCCCAAGTCTCATCCCACTCCCCACCCCCAGTTTCTTGGCTCCACTTAGAGCCAGTAACAGTCTCTCTTGGGCTATTTGCTGCTCTGTGCCCAAAGATAAAAGGCATGGCAGGTGGTGTCTGCTTTGTTGTTGGATCCCAGGGTCCCTAACATGCCTTTGGCACCCTTTGGAGAAACAGCCAATCAGCCTGCTCAGTCCCAGGCTGTAGCACCCCCCACCTTCTGCTTCCTTCCCCCTGATACAGGGGTCTTGGCCCTCAGCCACAGGTCTAACTTGCCACCGGAAAGGGAAGGAACACTTCTTAAGCGCACAGAGCAGCTCTGTGCACCCCCATAGGCTGGGCATTGTGCCTGCCCTCCAGGGCAAACACAGGCCTCCGTTTGCAAACTGGCCTGGTGGGAGAGAACAGGCTACCTTTGTGGGGGCACGCGATCCCAAGATTCTGGGTTGACACTGGCCCTGAGCCCACTGGCTGCCAGTAAGTTCCAGCCTCCACCAAGGGCAACAGCCTGAATCTGGGCTTCAGACTAGCTTTGCAGGCTCACCTTGGCATAGTCCAGGGGAAGTTGGTCCTCAGGGCATTTGAAGACTCCTTCACTAAAAAGGAGAGAGGGCAGTGTCAAGGCTCTTTATTATGGGAAGGGAGATCCTTGAGCCCCACCCCCTAAACCAGAGGAGCCTCCATCCCTTACCAGACCGGTTCCCAACCAGCCACAGCTGAGACAATGAGGCAAGCAGAGGCCTGAGGGGACCCACTTCTCCAGGGCCTCAGAAGACCCTAGCCCTAATCCTGGGAAAAGGGGTTCAGAGTCCAGTGAAGGCAGAGAGAGTTGCCTCAGACAGCACTTGGCCAACAGGTGGCAGCTGGCATCTCCTCCCTGGATGGCAGCTGGACTGGGAAAAAACAAACTGCCCAGCTACCTCCTCCCCCCTGGGTCATTTTCATTGGCTGGGCTGAAGCTGATGGGGAGGGTGAACAGGGATGGGCTGAGATTAAGTGCCAGGGCTACCCAGCCCCCATGAAGGTACCAGGCCAAGAACCAAGGCAAAGGTCAGCTTGGGGCCACTTATGCCATCCTTCCCCTCCTCTTTGAGGGTGTGTCTCCTAAAAGAAAAGGGAGGAAAGACAAAATCCCTGGCACTGTGTTTACATTCCCACCCAGTCCTCACCACCTGCTTGAGGAGAGTTGAAATGTTCTCATTTACAGGTGAAAGAACAGAGGCTCACAGATGAAGTAGCACCTGGATATGTCTATATCTGTTTCAGCAGCCCAGACAGGCTCTACTGTACCATAAGGCACAGAGGAGGCAAAATGTCCAGGCAAACACAGCCAAGACTTGGGTCATATCTGTCTAGGCTTCTGACCCACCCTCCTTTCAGTTGTCCCCTTCTCCACCAATCCCTACCTGGCTATTAGTATTCAAGGACTCTGGTGGCACACTTCCTCCTGCAGCATGCCCTTGCTGACCCCAGCCAGGACCGGTCACACATGTCTGGCAGGACTGAAGGCCCCTAGGCATGGCATTCCTGGCAGGTCTGAGTCAGGTGGGTGGGAGGCAGGCAGGCATCAAGGCGGAAGCAGAGGCCTCACAACAGTCCTGTCTTAAAGGCACTTTCCAGCCCGGGCAACCCATGCCCCAGGTGCCCAGAGTAGTTTCTAGCACCCATCTCCTCCCTGCCTTCACTATCACTGGCCATTCCACCAATGCCAAGAACAATGTGCCCAGCCTTACTGGCAAACCTGAGTAATGGCCCTGGCAGGAATGGGGAAAGAAAGAGGGGTGGACAAAGGGGGAGGGGTCCACTTGGCTGATTCAGGAATGTGCTGACTTAGTGGTTTTGGAAATGGCTGGGGGTGGGGGTGGGCTCGGATGGGACACAGGGCAGACGATGTAACCCAAGTTCCTAAGCTTCAGGAAGAAGCTTACCCTATAGCTTGGGGCCCAGCCCGGACAAAGGTTTGGCTAGGGCTATGGACAACCTAGCTTGTACAGTAGGAGTGTCGACCAGGGGCAGAGCCTGCCCAACCACCTTTTCCCTCCAGAAGCGCGAGCAGCAGAGCTCCTAGCGCTGAGGGAAGGGGGGGAGCAGGGACAGAGCCTACTCCAGGCTGTGCAGTGGAGGCCCAGGCCCAGGGAAGAAGACAGGATGGGGGGAGGGGGCTGTGGGAGAGGAAGAGGGGATTTCCGGGAGGGGGAGGGGCAGAAGCAACGGAGTGGGGCCAGAGGAGTAGATGGGGAGGGAGGGAAACGGGTCTGACAGTCCCCACCCCCCTCTCCTCCCCCAGGCTTGAATCACAGTTAAGGGTGGCTCAGCTGGAGGGGGCTGGCTCAGCTGGCCTCATCTGGAAACCAAAGGGCTGGGGAAGGGCTGCCGAGACAATGGGCCCCGTGTGTGTCTGTAGGGGAGTTAAGTGTGTACACCACAGGGAGGAAGGAGGGGGGAAGGGGAGGAGGGGGCAGGACAGCAGCTTGTGCACGAGCGTATGTGAGGGCAGGGGCTGAGCGGCTTGCGGGGAACAAAAAACAAAGGGCCTGTGGAGATTTCCGCCAGCTAGGGGCTGCGGAGAGCCGAGGGTGGGATAACTGCAGCCGGAGCCCCAGACATGCTCTCCCGGTCTGGGCCCCTCCGCACAGCAAACAGCCTCCTGAACCGTGGCTGATCCCCGAGCTCCAACAGCAAGACCTAGCCAGGAGTCCCCACGCTCTCTCACTTCCTCTCCCCACACCCTAGCCTGATCAGTTTCCAGAGTGGGCAGGTTGGATTCCAGACTGCGCAGGGCGCCCAGAAACTTGATGGATGCCCAAGAAACAAGGAGTGATCTGGGTCCTGAGTGGGCAGGGGCGTTCAGGGGTCGACCACCGCCTTAACAGTGTATTGCCCACCCACTGTACTCAAGACCGCCCCTCTCCAAGAGAAAAGAGACACCCAAAGGGCACCCGCTTCAGGGAAGGGTTGCAGTATCACAATGCTCCCTCTATTGTGTGACCACAAGGAGCCCATGCCCGAATCACAATCAAGCCCTCGACTGTGTGACCCCGGGCAAGTCGCGGCCTTTCTTTGAATCTCTGGTTTCATCATCTGTGAAATGGGAGAACAATAGCGACCGGTATCTGAGCGCCCAAAGGATCACAGAAATTAGAGCGACGGACTCTCCAAAGGCTTAAAGTGCAGTGGGGGAGAGAGGGTTTTGTCCTTCTCTTCCTTGAAAGATGTAAAGTTCAAGGATAAGGCCGCTCCCCTCAGGTGAGGGGGAAGGGCCGGCCATAGGTCAGGAAAAGCGTCTTTCCCTCGTCCGCATGGCTGGGCGGCTCGGAGTTCTTCCCACCTGGCGCCTGGCAATTGGGATCAGGGACCCTACGAATAAGTGCGTGGGGTCTTCCCCTGGGGTCTGACAACATCGCCGCCCTGTGACGTCACGGTGGGCGCCCCTGAGGTCACGGGCCCGCGGCGTAGACAAAGGCCTGGCGTGCTTTGGGACTGGGCCCCTCCCCAAGTAGTTCCCTCCCTCTCCGCCACCGGCGGTCCCTGGATGCCCCCGAGCCGCACCTGAGGAACTCCTGCAGGCAGGTGTCGCAGAAGCGGTGGCCACAGGTAGAAACCTGCACGGGCTCGCGCATGGGTTTCCCGCACAGCGGGCACAGCAGCCGCCGCTTGGGCTTCTCCAGGAACTTGTAGTCGAAGCCGGGCATGGCGGGAGAGCGGCGGGCACGGGCAAGCGGGGCCGGGCACGCGGCGGCCCCACAGCCCAGCCCGCGCCTCGCTCCGGCCGCGCTCGCGGCTCCGGGCGGCGCCGACTGGCAGCCCCGGCCAAAGCCCGGCCCGCAAGGCCGCCCGCCGGAAGAGGGGGCGGAGCCGCGCCCGCGCGGTCCTAATGCCTGGCCCGCCGGGCGCCCCACCCACACCTTAAGCCTTAGTTCTGGGGTTAGTTGTTTGTAGACTGACTCCCGGGCCACGAACGTGAGCCGGCCTCGTCCACTCCCGGAAACAGGGGCTTCTTTCCCTTAGCACGAAGCTTCCTTTCTCCCTGTCGCTGGGTTGAAGCGCAGGGCCCCGGGGGAGTGGGGCTGTGCTACAAAGGTTTGCTTCCCCGGAGGCCACAGCTGGGCTTCCAGGGCCACGAACCACCCAGGGACCTGGGGCCCCAGGTGCTAGGCAGCCGAAGCCTGGCAACCAGATCAGAGGAGCCCCACTGGGCTGGGATGAGGAGGACGGGCTGGGCGCTGGGCCAGAGGAACCTCAGCCCCAGCCCCTGGCGGCTCCCACATTCCTCCCTGGGCCTCAGCTTTGGCCGTGCAATGGCAAGTAGTTAGGCCCAGCCCAGTACTGAGGTTTCTGGCCACCATCACCCACCCCTGAAGAGACCATGCTCCAGGCAGGCAGTTGATAATTTTTATTAGAGCTACTTCCAGTCTTTTGGGAAACCTGTCTAGTTGAGCCAACTACCTTTTCCCCCATCCCGGGTTGGGGGACAGGCAGGGGGTGTTAGGCAACTTTCTGCCCTGATTGTCTTCATGACTCTTGCACTCCAGTAAAGGAAGGCTCTCAGAGTTTGTGCAGGAGGGGGTGGGGCAGGCAGGAGGCTTCCCTCAGACACTCCTGTCTCAGGCCATTCAGGGACTAGGCAGGCCCAATGGCCAGTCCAGGCAGGTTCCAGCTTGCCCTACTCAAGCTTGGAGCTGGTCTCCCAGGGGTCACCAAGGACTTATTTCTGAGCGGAGGGAGAGGGCAGGAACTGAGTAGAGCCATAGGGGTGGCTTTTTTAGGGATGGCTTTGAAGATCACCCTGCTTCCAAAGACTAGGTCTGGCTGCCAACTCCAGTGAGGCTGGACCACTATGAATAGTGAATAAGGAAAGAGGGAAAGGAGATGCTGGGGAACAGAGGTGGCTGAGGTTTCCCTATCTAGGGTCAAAAGCAGAGCAGGCCTTCACTGTCACTTCCATCCTGATGATATCACAATCCAGAAGGCTGGTGGGAAGTCATGCCTTAGGCACCTAAACTTTTCAGAATACTCAGAAGAGAAGCAATATCAGGGTGGTCCAGAGGTGTCCCGGTGCCTCAAGGGGGGACTGGCTCATCTGTGACTGCTGGAGAGTATTAAAGAGAAATCCCTGCAGCTTCCCTGAGGGCAGTGCCTCCAGCTAGCATTGCATCCACCTCCACTCCTATTGGGCCTTGGAATGTCCAGGGCCAGCAATGGATGTTCAACATCAACTTGACCCAGGGTGTAGGAGGAGAAAGAATGCATGTGAGCTCTGGGGAGCAGTGGAGGGAGCCCTTTCATTGAGGCTCAAAAACCCAGCCCTTGTCCACCCAAGCAGAAAGCTCGGAGTTTTACCTGGAAGCTTCTGCTTTCATTTATCCTGGGGGCTTGTGGTATAACTGCAGGGGATAGGTTTGTGGGGAGAGGACAGTTGGGTTAACACTTATGTGTATAAGGTGGGAAAAGATAACTCACGTCGAATAGCCAGGAGAGTGTTTCCATGGCAACAGGACACAGACGTCACTGTGTAAGGGTGTGTCTCATCCAGCTGCACTGGCCGAGGGAGCCCAGCATCTTCATCCTTCCTTCCTAGTCGTCCTCTGGCTCCTTTGCCCCAAGAGTAAACTTCACCCTCTGCCAGAGAGAATCCCAAGGTGGGAAGGGGAAGGGAAAGGGTACAGCCTAAGCAAGTACCATACAACCATACTGATTCCAACAGGAGATTGCTGAGGCCAGTGGTCCTGAGCATGATAATTCCCCACTATCTATACCTCAGTCTGCCCCATCATGCCTACCCTCACCTGCACCAATGGCTACTGTGAAGGCATCTCCACAGGCCACTGTCACCATCTTGATGCCCTCAAGGCCCTGGACTCGACATGGTGCCCGGCTGCCCCGGCGGGCATTAGTACCCAACTGCCCATGCTGATTGCTGCCAAAAGTGTAGCAGTCACCTGAGGCTGTGGGAAAGGGAAGAGGAAGGAAAGGGACACCTTAACAGAGGTCCCAAGGAGGCCAGGTGAGTCCCCATCAAGTACTACTCACCAGTCACAGCAGCTGAATGAGCAGTACCTAGGTCAACACTCAACAGGGGCTCCCGATCCAGGGGTGCAGAGCCTAATGGAGTAAAGGTCAGGGCTTCCTCTACTTGCTGGTGGGGTACAGACTCCTCTCCAAGGGAGTGATGGTCTAGGCCCAGCTTATTGAACCTAAAGGCAAAGCCACAAACCAATGCAACTGACAGTTTGTATACACTGCCTCCCGCCACCTATCTAGGCTAGGGCTGGTAGGATCTATCCCATCAGAAGACAGATCTCATCCTGAGGTGAACCAGGCAGCACCCTCAACCCCCTTCAGTTCCCTTGGTGGGAAAGAGCAATGAGGCACGGGACATGTGGCAGCCAAGGAGGGCAAAGGAACATGCTAATCATCCTGATGCATCTATTCACCTATTGCTCCCACAGGCCAGGGCTCTGCCAGGCACGGTGAGGATCATGGAAGAGTCGATGCCACATACAACCCGCTGGGCTTCCTGTCCTAAGGGAACCAGCACCTGCTGAGGACAGCTATGGGACTCCCTGGTGCCTAGTCCCAGCCTGCCTAAAAGAAGAAACCAGGGTGGGGTTAGTTTGAGCTCTAGGACTGGTGATGCCAGAATGAGGAGAGGCCTACTGAGGAGGGAACAAAATGAGTAGAGACTATTCTCAGCCTGAAATGGTTTTCCTAGGCCCCTCTGTTGGCCAAAATCTTCAGATGCCATCTCTGCCCTTTCCAGGTGACATTGCTGTTCTTTGAATTCCCATACCTCTGAACCTTGGATGTAGCCCTGACACTGTCTATCCTCTAGCATGCTAGAGTACTCATAAGACTGAGTACTCTGGGCTGGGGATATAGCTCAGTTGGTAGAGTGCTTACCTCACATGCACAGGGCCCTGGTTTCAATCCCCAGCACCACACACACACAAAATGACTGAGTACTCTCCCAGCACAATGGTGCATACTTGTAATCCTAGCAAATGGAGAGGCTAAGGTAGAAGGACAGCCTGAGCAACTTAGTGAGATCCTGTCTCAACACAAAAAGCAAAAAGTAATGGGGATGGGCTGGGGTTGAGCTCAGTGGTAAAGCGCTTGCCTGGCATGTATGAGGCCCTGGGTTTGATCCTCAGCACCACATAAAAATAAATAAATGAAAATAAAGATATTGTGTCCATCTACAACTAAAAAAATATTTAAAAAGGAATGGGATGTAGCTCAGAGGTAACATCCCTAGGTTCGATCCTCAATCCCAATAAGTAAAAATTTAAAAAACAGACTGAATCCTCCAGGAGAACAGGACCCATCTATGTCATCCCTAGTCTAAGTGCCAAGCCTGACCCTTGGCATAGAAAGAGCCTCAATAAATATAGCTGCATGGGCTATAAGTAGTTCAATGGTAGAACATGTTCTTAGTATGTGTTTGATCCTCAGCCCTGGAAAAAAAATAAATACTGTTGAATAAGTGGAATCTCTCCATTATTATTTTTTTTTAGAGAGAGAGAATTTTTAATATTTATTTTTTAGTTTTTGGCGGACACAACATCTTTGTTTGTATGTGGTGCTGAGGATCGAACCCGGGCCACACGCATGCCAGGTGAGTGCGCTACCGCTTGAGCCACATCCCCAGCCCGGAATCTCTCCATTATTATGTTGTAAGCACAAGAAAGAAGCCCCATCATTTTTCTTTTTTTTTATTATTATTTTTGGGGGATACCAGGAATTGAATTCAGGAGCACTTGGCCACTGAGCCACATCCCTAGCCCTATTTTTGTATTTCATTTAGAGGCAGGGTCTTACTAAGTTGCTTAATGCCTCACCATTGCTGAGGCTGGCTTTGAACTCGAAGTCCTTCTGTCTCAGCCTCCCAAGTCACTAGGATTACAGGCATGTGCCACCTTACCCAGGAATTTTTTATTTTTATTTTTAAATACTTTTTTCATTGTAGATGGACACAATCACAATACCTTTATTTATTTGTTTATTTTTATGTGGTGCTGAGGATTGAACCCAGTGCCTCGCACTTTCTAGGAAAGCACTCTACCACTGAGCCACAATGCCCACCCTTTTTATTTTTTATTTTGAGTCAGGGTCTCACTAGTTGTTGAGGCTGGCTTTGAACTTGAGATCCTCCTGTCTCAGCCTCCCGAGCAGCTGGAATTACAGGCGTGTGCCACCATGCCCAGCATGGGAAGCCACATCTTATTCATCTTGTCTCAGTATCCAGCACAGGATGAGCATATAATTGGCATGAAATAAAAATCTGTTGAATGAATTATTAGAATAGAAAAGCTGGGCACATCCTAACACAATGACACACACCTATAATCCCAGTGGTTCAGGAGGCTGAGAAAGGAGGATCACAAGATCAAAGCCAGCATCAGCAACTTAGTGAGGCCCTAAGAAACTTAGAAGAACCCTGTCTGAAAAAATAAAAAGGTGGGGCTGGGGATATAGCTCAGTTGGTAGAGTGCTTGCCTTGCATGCACAAGGCCCTGGGTTCAATTCCCAGCACCACAAAAAAATTAAAAAATAAAAAGGGCTGTTGGTTGTAGCTCAGTAGTAGAACACTTGCCTAGCATGTGTGAGACACTGGTTTTGATCCTCAGCACCACATAAAAATAAAATAAAGGTACTAAAAAATAAATAAATAAAAATAAAAAGATCTAGGACATAGTTCAGTGATATAACACCACTATGTTCAATCCTCAGTACCACTGGGAAAAAAAACTTGAGAGAAGAGAGAATGGACCATGGGGTGGAAGGTGGGTACAAAGGGGAACAAATCATGGCTAAAGAGACAGAACCTAGAGGTTAAAGCCAGAGTAGGGAGCTTACCACCATCTCCACGGCCCCAGGCAAACAGTTCTCGCTCAGTGGACAGGGCCAGCACATGGGAGGCACCACAGGCCACTTGTACCATCTCATAGCCAAGCAGGGCCTCCACTATGGTGGGCTAGAGAAGGGGAGAAAGCAAGGGGAGACTGAGATCTCTTACTAAACACACACATACACTCTGCCACAGCACCCACTGTGCAGAGAAAGAGGCTGCAGATTCTAAGTGCTGTCTAACTCCTGTCATATAAGGTTCAATGCCACATGAGACACTGGGGAAGCCTGGTCTTTTTTTTTTTTTTCCCTACCAGGAATTAAACCCAAGAGCACTTAACCACTGAGCCACATCCCCAGCCCTTTTTATTTTTTATTTTGAGAAAGGTTTTCACTAGGTTGCATATAGCCTTGCTGAGTTGCTGAGGCTGGCTTCAAACCTGCAATCCTCCCTCTTTCAGCCTCCTGAGCCACTGGGATTACAGGCATGCACCACCGTGCCTGGCAGAAGTTTGGTCTTTCTGTACTTCCCCTAAAGCAGCCCAGAGCAGGTGCAGCTTAGGAGCTACAGAGACTTTATGCACCTGGGGACTTCCCTGCCCCCAGCCTGATGTCAACATTCATATGTGGATTCCCTGCCATCCTCTCACTTCCCCTCTCTAGAGTACATGTGACACCTACCTGGCTGATATCAGTGAGGCTGCCATGGCCTAAGCACCCATTGCTGCCACTGCCAAAGGTCATGATGATGCCTCGGTCTGGAGAGGTCAGTAAGGAAAGAGGAGGGACAGGAATTAGACTGTTCTCTAGGTGACTAGGTCACTTGTGGATTGGAGGAGCAAGATGAAACTGGGGTTACAGGCCTTCTCCACCGCCTTGTCCAGTGTGTGACTTTGGACAAGTGACAGCCTCTCTGAACTTTAGTTTCCCCATCTATCAAATGGGGATGATTCCATGCCTATTTCGTAGAGTGAAGGAGATGGTATAAATAAATCTCAACAGCAAGTAGAAACAATAACTTAACAACTAAGAGATGGAAGCATTAATTGAGCAATGAGGGAAGTTGCTTTGTGGTCTTCTCCTAAGTTCCCATGGGGTAGTCCCCCAACAGGCTTACCAGTCAAACAGGCTGTGAAGAGGTCCCCGCAGGCCACATGCTTGATAGTCACACCTGACTGGCCCTCCAGGAAACGGGAGATGAACTGAGGCTGAGGCTGCTCCACTGCCCCTGGGAGGAGGGCATTTCCAAGGGCACCTACGGGTGGGGCCTGTGGGGGGTGGCGCTGAACACCTCTCATCCTCCTCAGGGACCTCCCACCCTCTACCTACTCCAGGCCCCCAGCCAAACTGCTTGCCTCCCACAGGATTAGGCGCCCAGAACGTGTGATCCCGGCCTTCTGCGTGCGCCCAGTGGCCACCTGAACCACCTCTGTGTTAAGCATCGGCAGCTTCAGTGGGGTGCTGAGCCCGCCACCCCATGTGTACACGGATGATAGTGGTGGTGGGATGGCCGGCCTCACAGGCCCCCGGGGGATACCTGCCAGTACAAGACACTGGGTCAGTTAAACTGGCAGGCATAGTGGGGAACCATGGGCCCAAGTACCCACTTCAACTTACCCCTGCAGCGGGTACTAGTGGTTCTGTTCCCTGTGCTGCCCGGGGCCATGGGTGTTCCTGGGGCCAGGGATTTCTCTGCTCTGCAGGACAGATAGGGACCTCAGACAGAACCTCCCTGACAATCCTACACACAGGCATAGAAGCCTTGCTTGAGGTCTCCTGTGCCCCACAGGGTGCTCCCAACCTCTGCCACCCAAGATCTATCCCTTTTTTCCCCACAGCACAGGCCTCCTCATGCGGATGCTGCCCACATCGGTGTGCAGGTTAAGTAGGGCTCGGATGCAGAGGGGCTGTGCCATGATGTGGCTCAGTGGTGGCCGATGTGCAGGCTCCAGGCTGAGCAGACTCAGGACAAGCTGGCGTAGCTCAGGGCTGTACCGGTCAGAGATGGGCGCAAAGGTGCCGCTCATGATCTTTAACACTAGCGCTGGCAGGTTCTGTGAAGGTGCCAAATTGGGGATGGCCTGAGTGTTGAATTGGGCTTTTGAGCATCCTTGTCCCTCAGCCCCTGGTCTGATGGTGAAAGAACAACCCTGCCTTCAGAGGACTTCATTCTCATTAGGGGACTCCCAGGATGATAGGGGAGTCAAACCCTGCTTTCAGGAATCCATAAGGGAGCTGCTCCAAGTTTCTCAGGAGCTGCTCCTGTGAAACTCCATGTTGACAAAACTCATGGGCTTGCTCTTGGTAGTGTCCTAATCTGATGGAAGAGACATAACCATGCCATCAGGAGCTCTCTAAAGGGAGGAAACGAGCCCTACCCTCAGAAATTCATAGTCTGAGCAAGAACCACAGCTCTGCCCTGGGTAATCCACCAGTCTGGATGAGGTAGAGACAGATGGGATTCTCACACACACAAAAAAGAAGTGGTTGGAGCTGAGGGCTGCTGGTGAGGGAGGGATTTCCCAGTTCCCTCAGGGGTGCTTATACTCACTGCAGCCTCAAAGGCCCTCTTGAGGCTGGCCAGCTCATAGAGGACACAGCCCAAGGCCCAGATGTCGCTCTTCTGGTTGTAGGGCTTGCCCTCACACAGCTCAGGGGAAATATAGCATGGAGTACCTACCACCTGCAAGAGAGAAATCTCAGTTACAGCCTGGAGGGGGGAAGGAAAAACAAGGCTCTGGTCATGAGCCCAGTGAGGGATAGATTCTCCCTGAAGCAGGCCAAGGGGTTTCCTCCTGCAAGACTACACAGCCAGGAGCCAAGGAGCTAAGGTCTATTTGTTTGTTTTGGTACTGGAGATTGAGCCCAGAGGTGCTTTACTTGAGAGCTATGACCCTAGTCCTTTTTATTTTCCATTTTGTGACAGGATCTTGCTAAATTGCTGAGGTTGGCCTCAAATTTTCCATCTTCTTGCCTCAGCCTCCTCAGTCACTGGGATTACTAGCATGTGCAACCACACCTGGCTGAGCCAAGGTTTTTGGAGGGGAAAAGGAGGAGGCAGGGATGTAGAATAGGCTTTGACCCTCAAGACCTCTAGCACCCTCAAGGCTCCCTCCAAGTCCAGGCACCGTGTAGGCCTTGCTCTTGCTGCTAAGGATCTTGGAGATGCCAAAGTCGCCAATCTTGACAACCATGCGATGTTTGTCAAGAAGGATGTTCTGGGTCTTGAGGTCCCGATGCAGGATGAGATGGGTATGCACGTGATGCAAGGCAAGCAGAATCTGCACAAAAAAGTGCAGGATGGTCTCTTCCTCCAGCAGGGAATTGCAGCGCTTTTGGATGAACTCGGCTAGGGTACCACCTGCGGCCCAAGAAACTAATCAAGATCCAGTCTTTTCCATACCCAGGACAATCCCTTTCCTTTTACCGAACAGGTCACTAGAACCAGAGAGGACAAGAAATCTGCCAGGGTCACAAAACTGGTGCCAGAACTCTATACCTCTGACCCTCAGCCAAGTCCATTCTAAGGGGAGAAGCCACCTGATCCTGGAGGTAAAGAATCCCTGCAGCCAGGCCAGTGCAAGGATCTGACTTACCTGGTGCATATTCCATGGCAATCATGAGGGCCTTGTCCTCTAGGAAGTTCTCATAGTACTCAATGACATTGGGGTGATTTAGCAGCTTGAGCACCTGACACTCATTCTGGGCTGCTTGCCGCTCTTCCTTGGTCATCTGCTCCACTGGGATTTGCTTGATGATCACTAGCTTCTGGTCAGCTTTACGGAGGCACAAGTGCACAATCCTGGAGACAAAGTAGAGGGCGGGTACTAGCTGAACTTCCAGCCATATATCAGACAGAGCAGAGCTAATGACTGGATGTTCCTCAGTGACTGGGTTTGATCCTCGGCACCACATAAAAATAAAAATAAATATAAAGATACTGTTAAAGTACTTAATGGGTGGAAGTCATTCATATTAGTATTTCATTACTTTTATGTGTGTGTGGGGGGGAGGTATTGGGGTATTCTACTAGGAATGCTCTATCACTGAGCTATATCCCCATTCCTGATTGTGGTGGCACACATCTGTAATCTCATCAATTTGGGAGGCTGAGGCAAGAAGATTCCAAGTTCGAGGTCAGCCTTAGCAATTTAGCAAGGCCCTAAGCAATTTAGCAATATCCTGTCTCAAAAAACAAAAAGGGAGCTGGGCATGGTGGTGCATACCTGTAATCCCAGCAGCTCGGGAGGCTGAGGCAGGAGGATAATGAGTTCAAAGCCAGCCTCAGCCAAAGTGAGGCACTAAGCAACTCAGTGAGACCCTGTCTCTAAATAAAATACAAAACAGGGCTGGGGATGTGGCTCAGTGGTTGAGTGCCCCTGAGTTCAATCGCTAGTGCTCCACCCCCCCTGCAAAAAAAAAAAAGGGCTGGGAAGGTAGCTTAGTGGTAAAACACCCCTGGGCTGGGTGTGGTGGCCCATGCCTGCAATCCCAGCAGTTTGGGAGGCTGAGACAGGAGGATCACAAGTTAAAAGCCAGCCTCAGCAATTTAGTGAGGCCCTAAGCAACTTAGTGAAGCCAGACCTAAAAAATAAAAAGGGCTGGGGATGTGGCTCACTGCTTAAGCACCCTGGATTCAATGCCCCCCACCAAAAAACAAACAAACAAACAAACAAAAAACCCAATAAACAAAAACCCCACTGAACATAGGAACAGGAAGAAGAACTGGTAACAAACTCTATGCAGGGCCTCATTTTACCCTTGGCACAATGAGATTGAGTTCTGGAGTTAACTGCCTGGGTTTAAATCCTGGCTCTTCCTAATTATCTGGTGTTAGATACATTATATGATATCACCATCTAGAAAATAGAGTTGTTGAGAGAGGATCAAATGAGTAAATGTATGTAAGGAATTTAGCACAGTGCTTGGCCCATAGAAAGTGCTTAATGGGGGCTGGGGTTATGGCTCAGTTTGAAGAGTGCTTCCTTGCATGCACTAGGCCCTGGGTTCAATCCCCAGCACTACATTAAAAAAAAAAGGCAGGGGCGGGGCTGTAGCTCAGGGGTAAAGCACTTGCTTCTCATGTGTGAGGCACTGGGTTTGATCCTCAGCACCACATAAAAATAAATGTAAATATACTGTGTGTTCATCTACAACTAAAAAAATGTTTAAAAAAGTACTACTGGGTGGAAGTCATTCATACTAGTATTTCATTAATTTTATGTGTGTGTGTGGGGGGTGGGTATTAGGGTATTCTACTAGGAATGCTCTATCACTGAGCTATAACCCCATCCCTTTTAATTTTTTTTCACTTTGAGCCAGGTCTCCCTAAGTTGCCCAGGCTGGCCTTGAACTTGGGATCCTCTTGCCTCAACCTCCCCAATTGCTGGGATTATAGGCATGAGTCACCATGCCCAACCATATTAGTATTTGACTTCAACTCTTTTTTTTTTTTAAAGAGAGAGTGAGAGAGAGGTAGAGAGAGAGAGAGAATTTTAATATTTATTTTTTAGTATTTGGCGGACACAACATCTTTGTTTGTATGTGGTGCTGAGGATCGAACCCGGGCCGCATGCATGCCAGGCGAGCGCGATACCGCTTGAGCCACATCCCCAGCCCCTTGACTTCAACTCTTTGTCAGTGTCCATAAATTCAGGAACTACATTTTTCTTGTTATAGAACAAGAACTTGTTCTAGAATATAGCCCAGTATTTTGCACACAGTAGGAGTTCTGTAGGTATTTGGTAAATGAATAGACTGTAATCTTATCACTTAAGTCTTAAATTTTTATCTCCCTCTCCTATGAGTCCCAGACTGACATATCCAACTCCATCTGCATATCTCACAAACATCCTAAATTTTAACAAATACAAAACAAAATTCTTGATTCTTGTTCCAAAACCTTTCCTTCTTCTGTTTCTTCCATCTGGGTAAATGACACCACCATTTCCGACTTATTAAAATCAGACATGTTGGGGCTGAGAGTAAAGTTCAGTGGTGGAGTGCTTGTATAGTATGTGCAAGACCCTGAGTTCAATCCTCACCACTGCAAAATAAAGTTGCATACCATTCAATGACTTAAGAGGCCTAACTAGCCCATACCTAAATTCATTAAAAAAAAAAAAAAAAAAAAGCCAGGTGTGGTGGCATATGCCAGTAATCCCAGTCTCAGGAGGACTGAAAGTTCCAGGTCAGCCTGGGCAATTTAGTGAGACCCTATCTCAAAATAAAAAAAAAATTAAAAGGGCTGGGGGGTATTGCTCAGTAGCAGTAGAGTGCCCCTGGGTTCAATATGCAGTACCCTGTATTGGAGAAGAGGAAAAAAAAAAAAAAAAAAACCAACACAGGGCCTGGGGATACAGCAGAGTGGTGGAAGAGTGTTTGCCAAGTGAAAAAGCAAGAAGCCCTAGGACCAATCCCCAGCAATACTCCCCCCACCCCCACCAAACAACAAAGGCAGGCTTTCTTCAGTCTGTAATCACAGCTACTCTAGAGGCTGAGGCAGGAGGATCACTTACTGTTTGTTTTTCTTTTTCTTTTTTATTGAATATAGGGGATCAAACCCAAGGCCTTGAACAAGCACTTTAACACTGAGCAAAATCTCCAGCCTTTGGTTTTAAACAAACTCTGATGGCTGGGTGTTGTGACATGTGCTTGCAATTCCAGGAGGCTGAGGCAGGATGATCCCAAGTTCAAGGCTAGCCTCAGCAATTTGGCAAGACCCTTTCTCAAAATAAAGTAAAACAAAAAAGAGGTGAGGGAGGGGCTGGGGATGTGGCTCAAGTGGCAGCGCGCTCGCCTGGCATGCGCGCAGCCCGGGTTCGATCCTCAGCACCACATACAAAGATGTTGTGTCCGCCGAAAACTAAAAAAATAAATATTAAAAAAAGTTCTCTCTCTTTCTCTCTCTCTCTTTAAAAATAAAATAAAATAAAAATAAAGAGGTGAGGGAGATGGGCATGCTGGCACACACTATAATCCCAACAACTAGGGAGGATGAGGTAGGAGGATTGCAAGTTCAAAGCCAGCCTCAGCAATTTAATGAGGCCCCCCAAGAACTTAGCAAGACAATGTTTCAAAATCATAAAAAAGTCTGGGGATGTGGCTCAGTGGTTAAGCGCCCCTGGGTTCAATCCCTGGTACAAAAAAAAAAAAAAAAGAAGTTAGGGGACCAGGCATTATGGCCCACACCTGTAATCTCAGCAGCTTGGGAGGCGAAGGCAGGAGGATTGTGAGTTCAAATCCAACCTCAGCAATTTAGTGAGACCCTAAGCAACTTAGTGAGACCCTGTCTCAAAAAATAAGAGATGTGGATGTGGCTCAGTAGTTAAGTGACTCTGGGTTCAATTCCTGTACCAAATAAAAATAAATAAATAAAACTCTTCCTTGGGCTGGGTGTCTATGTAGCTCAATGATAATGCATGTGTTTGGCCTTTGGAGTTCCTGGGTTCAATTTCCAGCACAAACAAATGCTCTTGCCCTTATACTAAATCAATTAAACCCCTTTACCTCATTTTAAGAGTCATATAATCTATTCCCTGCTCTCCATGACAATTATATTTTACACCATTCTTTACCTTGCCCACTACATTCCAACTACACTAATCTTTTTTCAGTTTCTTTTTTGGTACTGGCAATTGAACTGGTGCTCTGCCACTGAACTACATCTCCAGCCCTTTTAACTTTTTAAATTTTGAGACAGGGTCTCGCTAAATTGCCAAGAGTGCCTTGGAACTTGCAATCTTCCTACCTCAGCCTCCCCATCAAGCTTGGCATCTGTTTCTTGATTGTTCTCAATAATTCTTTCCATGTGAGGACCTTTGCATATGCTGCTTCCTTTGCCTGAAAATTTTCTTCCTTCAGAGTACTGGTCTTCATTCCTTATCTTTACATCTCGCCTCCCAGAGAATTCCTCCCTAACTACCCCAAGTAATTATTCTCTACCGTTGTACTTGTTGCTTAATAACCTTTCATAACTGCTATAACTTATAACCACTTTAATAATGTCTTGTTAAAGGAGTGAGACCCCTATCTCAAAATAAAAAATTAAAAGGGCTAAGTTCCTAAAGGGAAAGAAAAAGACTAGTCCTTTTTTTTTTTTTGGTACCAGGGATTGAACTCAGGGTCTTGACCACTGAGCCGCATCCCCAGCCCTATTTTATATTTTTTTTAGAGACAGGGTCTCACTGAGTTGCTTAGCAGCCTCGCTTTGGCTAAGGCTGGCTTTGAACTCGCAATCCTCTTGCCTCAGCCTCCCAAGCCGCTGGGATTACAGGAGTGAGCCATCACACCCGGCTACCAGTCCAGTTTTGGTCATATCTATATACACACAGCCCAGAATCTGAAGACCTATGCCGCCGGTGTACAAGGGAACCAACAGAAGAATGCCACCCGAGCGCATAGGGGTGTGGGCGTGGCCTCATTGAAGACGGACCTCCCAGTCCAGACTGAGACCGGAAGCCTGGGCGGGGCTTCCCAGATAGTAGCTCACGCCTAGGAGGCGGAGCTATCCGGGTAGCAATTTCGCGGTTAGTTTTGGGACTTATTTTCCCACTCCCCATCAGTTTTCTTCCCTCTACCCTTGGCTCACCCGAAGGCACCTCTCCCCACCACTCGGATCCGCTCGTACTTCTCCATCTCATTTCTCAGAACACCGTTTCCGGAACACCCCTATGGGGCGCGTGCGCGGACCTGCCCACTCTGGAGCCCCGCCCTCTAAGCTATAAAATCTTTGCGGGGCGGAGCAAGCAGAGCTAAAGTCTGTTTGCGTCGGAGTTGAACTTCACCGTACTATCCGCACAAAGTCGTTTTTCCCTCACGACCCTGTCACTCGTAGGGCCCAACAAATACGGCTATACCTCATTTCTTAGTGTGTCCCTCAATGGCCAGCACGATACCAGCCGCTTCTCACACCCATGGCCCCATTGGACTCTTGCAAAGTTTGTGAGACGGGAGGGAATGCCTCACGCTCAAGAGTTGCCCCCCAAAAGCCGGATGGGGTGGGAAGCGAGGACTGAGTCCCCAGCTTCCCATGACTACGCTATTTCAGAAGAGGGATTTTCATTGGCAAGCAAATGATAACCAAAACTCAATCGAGGGCAAGCTCTCGTTCTGTGAATTCGCGTTTGACTCGCAGTGAACGCCCCAAGCTGTGCAAATTGATTCATCTAGGGCTGTTGCCACGAGTAAGCACGTGCTAGTCCACACTTTCAGTCTCCCCACCACCAGCTTCATACCCAGAATGCTGCAGTAGGGGAATCAGTCTTAGATGTTTATACCCCCACCCCCCATATTCTAGGACACAGATTCTTTTTTTTTTTTAAATACATTTTTTAGTTGTAGATGGATACAATATCTTTATTTTATTTTATTTTTTACGTGGTGCTGAGGATTGTACCCAGTGCCTCACATGTGCTAAGTGGACATTCTACTACGGAGCCACAAACTCTAGCCCTCCTCTTTGGGAGAAGCTGGGAGTGGAAGCAGACTACTAAAGCGTCAGGGAAGGAAGGGAGGGAAACCGGAGGGTTTCCCACAGATGGATTCAATGCCTCTGCCCAGAGGTAGGGGGATTGGTTAGTAGGACTGCTGGATCTAAACCAGAAGTGACTATAATCCTAGCAGCTTCCTGGCACCTGTGCTCTGTGGGAGCTCCATAAAAGCTCAGTACAAAGGAGAAGGGTAGTTATTTAGCTAAAGGTTAGCGTCCCTATTTCTGAGTGGGTGAGGAATGTGGGGAAAGTGGTGTTTTATCTTCTGCCTTCGTCCCACCTCTTGAAACGACCCCAAACTCTCCCAAGTGAAATGAACGCTGAAAGAGCCCCGCGAAGGCCCCTGGAATCCATGGCCCAGGCCGGTGTCAGCTGGCTGACAAGCTGCCCTCTGAGCAAAGGAGGAAAGCCACTCACCCAGCACATCATGTCCTCACCTGGAAACAGACTGGACCTTGAGTGACCCAGGAGTCCCATAGGGGTTAATATGTAACCTTGGAGCCATTAGGGGAGACACAATAAACACCCAAACGGTTTGGTTCCTGGGTCCCTGTGCCTCAGGATTCTAGCTTTTCCTCCCTCCCTCGCTCCCACTTCTACCTTCCCCTCCTCTGCTTCCACCCCTCAGCACAAACACCTCTTCACTTCCTCCACAGGCTTTCAGCTGCCCCCCCCCCTTTTTTTTTTTTGCCCAGGGTCTGCCTATTTTCCTCCCAAAGCAACTGCCTTACACCTTTGGAGGGCGAAAGAGAACCTCGCCACAGTGAGGTCAGGCTGACACCTAGTGGCCCGAATCCGCAACTACTTCAGACACTGACTGGCTTGGAGAGAGGGTCACCCCAGCTGTCTGGGCAAATCCGCAGTCTTCCCCGCCCCAGCCTTCAGGGAGCCAGGAGAAGAAGGCTGAGACTGTCTGTGGGAGGACTGTGACAACCGCTTGGCCCCAGGAACCCAAGAGCGGGCTTAGAGGATAAATGATGATGGGTGACTCAACAGTTCCTAAGCGCCACTTGTTGGGGGCGTGGGAGAGGTAGGTAAACACGTCGGTCTCCAGACAGTGGAGGAACAGGGTTTGGGCGGAGCCATCACCCGTTGAGGGCCTCCGACCCCTTCCCAGGACCAATGTTTAGAGGATGTGTGTGTGTGTGATGATTCCCCCCCTGCTCTGCCCAGAAAGGAGTTGAGGGCGGAGAGTTCTCCCAGTACCCGCCCAGGGAGCTGCTGGCCTCAGAGAAAGTGGGGATGCGGGTTAATTGAGGCCGTGCGAGCGAGGGCGGCTGGGGACTCCTTTCGCCAGTCGAGAGGCGCCAGTGAGGGGTGCCTCTCAGGCGGCACCCCCAGGACAGCCCCTTCCCGCCCGAAGTGGGCAGGGCCCGGGCGGGGCCGGGGAGGCCCGGGGGAAATGGGGCTCTGGCCCTCCGCGCGGCAGAGGCGCCGGAGGGGCGGGGGCAGGCGGGCGGGGCGGGGCGGCTGGGGGCGGGGGCAGAGGCCTTGCCGGGAGGGCGGGGAGGAGCGAAGGGGCCTAGACGGCTCCGCGAAAGCTGTGGCTCCTGCTGCCGGTGACAGAGGCGGCCGGGGTGGACTGGCCGGATAGCGAACCCTGTTCCCAGAACAGCCCGAGGAGGCGGCCTAGAGGGTGGACAGACAGAGGGCAGGAAGGGCCATCATGCTCCCACTGCTGCACCCCGCCTTGCCGCTGCTCCTGGGCGCCACGCTGACCTTCCGGGCGCTCCGGCGCGCGCTGTGTCGCCTACCCCTGCCTGCGCACGTGCGCACCGACCCCCTGCGCACTTGGCGCTGGCACAACCTACTCGTCTCTTTCGCGCACTCTATTGTGTCAGGGATCTGGGCGCTGCTGTGGTGAGTGAGCAACTGGGGGAGTGAGGTGGCCAGGGGATCCCGTATGGGGTGCTGGGACTGGCTTCCGAGTTACTATTCTCATCACTCTCGGCCAGCAGAGGCCTTGGCGCTCACCTGATTCCCTGTTTGGAAAACTACCCAACCAGGAGCAGCCCAGGGAAACCAGAGGCACCTGGGTTTCGGCCAAGCCCCTCCTCGTTGCCTAGTCAGCCAATAGCGCGAGTCCAGACTGCCCTGGGATTGGCAAGGGTTTCGGGGAGGAGGGTCTTTGGGGATGCCGAAATGCAGAGACCTCCCTTTTTCTCTCCTTCCCAGTTTATGGCAGACCCCGGAGATGCTGGTGGAGATTGAGACAGCATGGTCACTTTCAGGCTATTTGCTTGTTTGCTTCTCCGCAGGTAAGTCTTGCCCATGAAAGCTCAGGTAAGTGGAGAAAAAGAGAGTTTCTTTTCTGCCCCTTGTGACCTCTTCTATCCCTCCATTAGGGTATTTCATCCATGACACAGTAGATATCGTGGTTAGTCATCAGGCTCGAGCTTCTTGGGAATACCTTGTTCATCATGTTATGGTAAGTGTTATAGGCCTGGTGTTGGTAACCTAGCCTTGTATTTCTAAACCTAGGAGAGAAAGCCATTCCCAGCCTAGTCCCTAGCCCTGCAACCTGCTTCTTAAGCTAGAATGCTGAGGTTGGCTCCTTCTTTGTGTCCTTGCTCACCGAGTCAATTCCTGGGTTCACCTGTTAACTCAGTAAATAGACTGGAAACTCACAGCCAGAACTAATGGAGAGGGATCGAAATCTAATTGTATTTAATGAGAAAAAACATCCATGCAAGCTTTTATTCCACAAGAAATTGGGAATCATTTTCCACTTCCCATTTTGGTTGGTGGTCTTGTAACACCAGGAAAGCCCTGGCACCCAGGTTCCCAGCCCTTTCCTCTCACTTGTCCTCTAGGCCATGGGTGCCTTCTTCTCAGGCATCTTTTGGAGCAGCTTTGTAGGTGGGGGTGTTCTAACACTACTGGTGGAAGTCAGCAACATCTTCCTCACCATCCGCATGATGATGAAGATCAACAATGCCCAGGATCTTCTCCTCTACAGGGTCAACAAGTATGTCAACTTGGTCATGTACTTTCTCTTCCGCCTGGCGCCTCAGGCCTACCTCACCAGTTTCTTCCTGCAGTATGCAGGTCAGAGGACCCTGGGAACCTTTCTATTGGGCATCCTGCTCATGCTGGATGTAATGATCCTCATCTACTTTTCCCGCCTCCTCCGCTCTGACTTCTGCCCTGGACTGGTCCCTGGCCAGCAACACAAAGACAAATTTTTGACTGAATGAGGTGTAGAGCTTGAGACCTGTGACAAGGACAGCAAGCAAAATCAAGGACAGAAGCAGCCTCTGCACTAAGTTTGGGGCCAACCTTTCCACCTCAAATCGGCACCTGCACTATTGAAAACACTAATGAAAACACTCATCTGAAGTCGTGTTTTCTTGGGCAAGGGGTGAGGGAAGCAGACAGACTGGTTGGACGTGTAGGTGGGTGTGAAGACTAGGCACTACCCCAGTTGCAGCCAACCCACATTGCCCTGAAATGGATGCAACTCTTATTATTATAAAAATCCTCCTGTTCCCTGTGGTACTGGTTTCACACACAACCTTTCAGGGATAAGAGTCTCATTAAGTAGCCAAGACTGGCTTCAAATTTTTCATTCTCTCAAGGTGCTGGGATTACAGGTATATTCTACCATACCCAGCTAGTTTATTTTCCTACCTGTATGAGGAAAGGCAAATTTTAGTTGGCCTAGGATATCTAATCCTCATCTAAACAATACCCAAGCCCTTACCCTCAGGGGTTGTAACAAGTATGGTGGCTTGATAGGCCAAGGGTTCAGGGTAAGCAGATTTAAAGAGACTTAGTTAAATCAAAACTTGAAGACTTGTTACCTTGGTGTATTTCACTATCTGACCTTCCCCAGCCCAAACAAAAGACAAGAAGCATATATATGTTGGAAAAAACAAAGTATATTTAGAATTAGACAGCTGGACTTTGTTTAGATGATCCCAATCTGAAAAACAAAAGGGAGCTTTGTTACTGGAACTGAAATGTCATGTTTTTAAAAAGGAAAAATGAGAGACCAGGAGGATAGGGCTTATGAAGGATAGGGGTGCAGTCAGTTATGACTAATCAGCAAGTCAGGCTTTGGTCACTAACAGACACATCACTTACACCCAGGGAGTGGGTATTACAGAGTTTGTAGCAAAAGAAGCAAGCTTACTTTATTGGCAACATCCAAAGCATCATAATCAGGAGCCAGTCGCACATATGCCTTTTTCTCTCCATCAGGCCTGGGTGGAGAAGGAAGTCTTAGTCCTTGCTGATCTCATGTCCCTACCTCCCAACATACCCTTTCTCCATCCCCTAATCCTCTGGTGCATCAGTGGTTCCTTTGTTCATGTCATTCTTTTCCAAATAGTGAATTTTCCATCATTTGCACAGAGGGGTTAGAAAAGCCAAAAAAAAAAAAAAAAAAAAAATATATATATATATTCCTTTTACTGGAAACACTACATTCAAGACATAAACCAGGTAATCTGACAAACTGCTTTGTCTCCTCTACGAATAGATGTAGGGATCCAGAATTTGATTAACCTCATGAACAATATCTTAAGACAATTTCCTCAGGTCTACACTCCATAAAAAGGATTATAATTATAGCAGGGAGTTTGTACACTGTAAAACCAATGTCTGACCTCCATAGCTCCAGCCTCCTCCCTCCTATTCCATGGTCACCACTCACCTGATCAGGGTGTTAACCTTGGCCACATCAATGTCATAGAGCTTCTTTACAGCTTGTTTGATCTGGTGTTTGTTTGCCTTGACATCCACAATAAACACAAGTGTGTTGTTGTCTTCAATCTTCTTCATGGCTGACTCAGTGGTCAGAGGGAATTTGATGATGGCATAGTGGTCAAGCCTAGGGGAAGAAGCAAACTGCAGTCACTTGGCCTAGGTAGGCCCAGTATAAGAAAGGATGGGCCTTCCTTTGGAACCCTAGGCCAATACAGAATAGGTGCATCAGACAATAAGTAGCAATCAGTTTCATCAGACTTTGGTCGCTAAATGCTGTCATCAGCTGCACCCTGAATCTTAGGGATCTTAATTCTCAGCCTGTAGGTAGATCCCTTATGCATTTTGTTTAACCTGAGGGCTTGCATCCTTAAATGACTGAAGATTCACCTTTTACTTGAACCCTTTCATTTGCTAGAGTTTCATATTGGTGCTTCACTATGAGCCCGGACCAAACATTTCATCTACCTCTGGTTGCTAAAAAGTGGTGGTACTCAAGAGTTAATTTTTTTTTCTTTTTTTGTATTTGGGATTGGAACCAAGGGTGCTTTACCACTGAGCTACATCCCTATGTGGCTCGGAACTTGCAGTCCTCCTGCCTCAGATTCCCAGAATTGCTGGGATTTTTGTTGGTACCAAGGATTGAACCCAGGGGCACTGACCAGCCCTTTTTTGAGACAGGATCATGCTAAGTTGCTTCGAGTGGTCTCAAATTTGGGATCCTCCTACCTCAGTCTAAAGAGTTGCTAAGACTTCAAGCATGCACAACCATGCTGGCTGGGAGCTACTTAAGACCAACTTTTTATTGGTTAAATGGACAAAACCAGGCTGTGCTCAGCCAGACACTATTTTCCTGTTTTGAAGCAAGGTCAGGACTCATCTCTTATCTTGTAACTTCTGTTTTTCAACAGCTTTTACCCCTTCCCCAGAACCTTTCCTGAGCCTAGCCTGAACTTTGGGAGTGAATGAAATTCCTTTACACTGTTGGCAGGCTATCACTGCCACAAATAAAAATTACTGAATTCTTCTGGGCACACTGGCACGCACCTATAATCCCAGAGGCTCAGGAGGCTGAGACAGGAGGATGGATATCTTAAAGCAAGCCTAAGCAATGGCAAGGTGCTAAGCAACTCGGTGAGACTCTGTAAATAAATAATATAATCATTCTATCTACTAAAAAAACAGCACACATTCTCACTCTTAAGCAATAGGTCACCTAGGACCACACACACCTGTAACCACACACTTGGGAGGCTGAGGCAGGAGTTCTTCAAGGGCAGCCTCAGCAGCTTAGCAAAAACCCAAACTCAAAAAAGGGCTAGGATGTAGCTCAGAAGTAAATTGGCCCTGGGTTCAATTCCCAGTACCAAACAACAACAACAAAACCCCCAGAAGTAATAGGTGTCACCAGCAAGTAACTAAAATTGGAACTACAAAATAAGAAGCATCTCTCTAGTTCTACTTCATACAACCAATAAAGTGGTCTTTCAAACTCTGACCACATGTGAAGCGATAAGTAATCCAAATAAAAATTGATAGATTGTATGTATATTGCCTTAATTCCCGTCAATAATGCAAAACGACTCTTGTTCTGAGCCGGGTACAGTGGCAAATACCTGCAATCCCAGCTACTTAGGTCGTGGAAGCAGGGGGATCACAAGATCGAAGGCAGCTTTGGCAACTTATCAAGACCCTCTCAAAAATAACAATAAAGGATAGACATTGTAGCTCCGTGGTAGAGCGTTTGCCTAGCAGACAAGAAAGGCCCTATGTTTAATTCCCATAAAACAAATAGTTTCCTCGTTCTTAATTAGGGTAGAAAGAAATCTCACATCAGAGCAGCACACCGGATATCAACGTGTTGGAGAGGCCATACTCCACAAACTAAATCACCAATGAAAAATATTCTCATGGATATAGGAGCAGTACTGACTTGTTTCTCCTGGGGGCGCTCTTCCGAGGATATTTGGGCTGCCTCCGGAGCCGCAATGTCTTGGGTCGCCGGAAGGTAGGTGACGTGCGGATCTTCTTCTTTTTATGACTGTGGACACCCTTCAACACTGCTTTCTTGGCTTTCAAAGCTTTTGCTTTGGCTTCAGCTTTGGGAGGGGCAGGAGCTGGGAGAGAAGGAAAAAAAAAAAAAAGGGTGCGAATTCAGAAATTGGCCACTTCCGGCCTCAGGACTCGTAGCGGGTGCCTCTGTCAACACGTGCATCAGTGGTTCCTTTGAAAACTTCACAAATCTCAGGAGATCACGATTTTTCCATCATATGCACGATACCGGAAGCGAAGATAATCAACTTGGAGCAACTTCAAGGATACAAGGAAAAAACCCAACTAGTACTGATCGAACGCCCAAATTTTGCCGAGATCTGTGTTAAAGAGTTTTATACATACCATCATGTAACTCCGAAGGAGAGGGGCATATAGCCCCGCTGAATACGACAAAATAATGAGTAATGCTGAAGACGCTTAATTCCTTATATATCTGGATAAATGAGAGTACTGGCCTGTGACTGCGTGTAGCTCCCCAGAGTCAATTGTCTGGCCTCACTGGCGGATGATGCGGGAAATGTTCTCTCCAACCCCCTTACTGGAATCCAGCCCATGCGGCTTGGTCCACGCGGCCCACATATGCCTCAGTTTTGCCCAACCCCAGGACGCGGCTCCGGGGAAAGTTCTCCAGGAGCTTAGCTCAACCACTGTCCTCCCAGGCCGTTCGTTCTGCTGACATCCCAGGAAAACCCACTGCGGTCCCCAGCCCGAACACACACCTTCCTTCTTAGCTTTCGGCGCCATCTTGGTGAAAAGGGTCTACGAGGCCCGGTCCCATGGGCTTATAGTGCCAAATCTCATTGAAGACTCGCGATGTTGTTTACTTAGAGATGATTGGGTAACCTGTGCTGTATGGCCCTCTGGGAATTATAGTTGGATGTCTTTGCTGGCAGGGCTACGCATGCGCTACCCCGCCCCTGGTAAGGCCGCAAAGCTTCTTGGAAGTTGTAGTTTTTCAGATGTGTGTTTCTTTGCTTGGGCCTGTGGATAGGTCCCCAGTGCTTTCCATCTTGAGCAACTTCCAATGTCTGCTGAAGAGGTTTGCAGCGCCAGCAGAAGAGTAGCACTGCAAACTAGATGAAATATTGTTAGACTGATTAAGGAGCGGGTGAAGCAAAGTTCTAGAATGTCAGAGCAGGATTTGCCTAAAATTAACTCCTTCAGACAACATTCCTGGAAAATTGAGGCCCTGAGAGGGATGTGCTTCAGCAAATACCCCAATGATTTGCAAAGTATGGGAGGAGGTACACATCTACCCTGACAGTTTTTCCGATAATACTTTTTTCGTTTTTTCTCTTACTTCTTGTCGCTGGGGATCGAACCCAGGGCACTTTACCACTGAGCTACATCCTCAGCACTTTTTATATTTTATTTTGAGACGGGATCTAACTTGCTAAGGCTGGCCTCAAACTTGTGATCCTCCTGCTTCAGCTTCTCGAGTTGCTGGGAATAGTCATGCACCATCTTTCCAGGCTCTGATAATATTCTTTAAGCATATCTGTGAGCACCCAGACACAGGTTTCATAATGCTCGGATATTCTTCTGAGAGTCTGTGTCGAATCTTCCCCCATTTCGTCATTTCTGTCTTCACCCTTCCCTTCTGGAGCCAAATGTCCCTTTGTTGGTGAAATTGGCCTCTCTTCTATCTGGCAAGACTTTGCAAAAAGAAAAGTCCTGGTTGGGGGAGGAGAGAAGACTGTTCCAAAGGGGACAGCAAAATGAACCCTATCAGAGGGGTGTCCCCGCATCCCCGAATGGTGACAACTCAAGGGCGAAGTTTCTCAGTCCACCTAGTCCTTCTTTCCCATCCAGGGAGGCAGTTTAGTCATCAGCCCTACTACCCCTCGATCTACATAGCAGCCTTGAAGGAAAAGACATCGGACTTCGTACGACTGCCCACTGGGCAGTTTGTTCTGATTCTGGCACCCTTTACGTGCTCCCCCTCTACACACACCTCCCAGGGCATAAGGGCGAGCAGGGGCAGACTCTATGAGTCACGTCCCGGGCCAGGAATCGAGGAGGGAAGCGCCGCCTCTCCTTGGGCCCCTTCTCTCCCCCTTTCTCCTCCTCGCGGTCCTTGCCAGATGCTGCGCAGCAATCACTGATTCCCCATCACCAATTCAGCTGGGTAAGGGTCTCCAGGAAGACGTAACCCAGCACCGAGGTGCAGGCAAAACGGCCTAGGGGATCCCGATCTGGATGGGCTCCAGTCTGCGTGGGGGCGGTCCTGGTGTGGGGTGAGCGTCTGAAGGGGTAGTCCGAGTCTGGGCAGTGGGGAGGAGAAGAGAGGGGGAGGCGAGGGCGGGCAGCGAGTCTGGGAGCCGCTGGGAGAGGGGTAGGGGGCGGCCCTTCTCCAGGAATTTCCGGGGATCAGGTTACAGCAGTAGCTGAGCGCGAGCAAAGTGGGACGCGAGGCCCTGCAGCCGGACCTGGCCCCTCGCCCCTTCCTCTAGCGGCCTGGGCAGCGCCGCCCCTTCCCACACTGACCCCGTGTGGCGGGGCCGCTCCGCGCCCCCAGGCCGTTCTGTTATGGTAGGGCCTCCTCAACCCCGAGTTGTCGTCGGGTCTCCGCGGCCCCGTGTTGTCGTAGGAACTCTACGGCCCCGCGTTATTGTAGGATCAGCGCGGGTTCGGGCCTCCCCGGACGGGACTCCGCGTCCTCATTTGGCGGCCGAGGGGTCTCCCCGCCCCCGAGTCGTCTTTGGGACGCCTCGGGCCCGGGTGATTGTGGGTTCTCCCCGGCCCCAGGTGTTCGTTTCGTCCCCGTGGCCTGCAGTGGTCGTAGCGTCTCCGAGGCCTCGGGCTCCCGTCGGCTCCCCGTGGCCCCGAGTTATAGTCGGGACCCCTCGGCCGCGGGTGATAGTCGGGTCTCTACGGGGCCGGGCCGTCGGGTCGGATCAGGCCTCCGTGCCTTCTCAGGGTGCCCCGCAAGTCCGCAGGCAAGATGAACATTCTGGCGCCGGTGCGGAGGGACCGCGTCCTGGCGGAGCTGCCCCAGGTAGGCGCCTGGGCC